GAGAGACCGTGAGACTCCTATCTCCAATAAACCACCAGAAAACCGGAAGTGGTGCTGTGGCTCAAGTGGTAGAGCGCTAGCCTTAAGCTGAAGAGCTGAGGTACAGCGCCCAGGCCCAGAGTTCAAGCCCCACCACCGACCAAAAAAAAAAAAAGAGCTCCATATAGATAAAACTATTTGAAAAGTCTAAAAGTTCCTGAAACCTCTTGTTTGATTTATAGCTCCTAAGACAGGAGGAAGATGTATCTTTTCACCACTTTTAGATTTGTCTGTCTGTTGTGGCTCTGGTTATTCTTTCCCAGCATGAAAGAGATGTTCCTACTGCTATTTTTCTATTGCCACAGTGAAATAACTTCCTTTATTCACATAGTAGAAATAATGACTTGTACTCCTTAGATTTATCATTTGAAGCTTAAAGAATATTATGTGTTTATTTGGCTTTGGAATTCATTTTTATAGCCCAGTAGACAATTTCCTGGCTTCTTTTTCACTACCACAAAAAAAAAGTTGGCATTCATTTTAGTTTCCATTAATGGAGAGAGGAAAAGCTGTAATGAAAGTCCTAAAATATTTCTGTATGAATATAAGTACTTAGTATATCCATTTTAAATTAAGAAAATGTAACATGTTTTTTATTAGAAAGGAAAAATACTTTAAGGAACTTGGTTATCACATTGTGAGCATTGAAGTGTGATCCAGAGAATGATAGGCAGTGCTTGGTAACTAGTTGGTCTACCTATGTGCTCACCCTCCTTCCTTTTCAGTTGTAGCCCCTGTATCACTTCTGAATCTAGCCAGTAGTAGAGAGTTTTATTTTCAAAGGAAAACACTGGTTATTAGTAATCAAGGCAGACTGAAATGGAGAGAGTAAGCTGTTACAATAGTTTATATAAGCAATTATATAGTAGTTATTATATTATTACTATTTTATAAACTTATATAACTATATCTAAAAGCAATTATCTATAATAAATAATATATAAAATATATCCCAAGATTGAGATGTTTTGATTCAAGCAGACCAATTAATGGAGATGATGGATAATGTGAATAGAGTGTGTCAGGGAAGATTGTGATATTGTTTTTCTCAGTGTCAACTTACTTGCCCAATTAGCTTGAATACCCTGAGAGGGGTATGTAGGGATGGCACATTCACAAGTTCCATTTTTATCTGTTGCAAATACATGTATTTTTGTGATGAATTCTTCCATTTGAATTTAGGTGAGCGGCCTGTGAGAGTTTATGCAGATGGAATATTTGACTTGTTTCATTCTGGTCATGCCCGGGCTCTGATGCAAGCCAAGAACCTTTTCCCTAATACATATCTCATTGTGGGAGGTAAGACAATGCCTGACAACTAGGTGCTCCCCAGTGGTCTTTGGCTCTCTCCTCTCTATGTCACCTGAGCACATGGCCCTTGTGCATGTTTTTCAATGGAGGATGTATAAAATGTCAAGTCTACATGGTCTCCATCCTCAGCCTGAGCTGCAGACTCAATAACCTGAAATATCCAGTATTTCTGTCATGTTAACTGACTTTCTGCTGTCAGTTAACTGGAGCAACACTGATCCTGATTCCTACTCAAGAACAGCATTTACTCTAGATTTCCATTAATCATTTTTTAATCCACCACAGTATACTAGTTAATATGGTTCTTATAAAAATTAAATGGGAGAACATTTTAAAAACCTTAATTGACATGAGTGTGCAGGTTCATTTTAGCAAAGATCTTAGTCTTCTCTGGTACCCCGTCTTCTCCAAAGTGTGAACATAAGATTGAGTGAGTGTTAGACAGAAAGTAGAGCACTAGCCAATGAGTGAAGGTGGTAGGTACTAAGTTCGAGTTCTGGTCTCAGACCTAAAAAGAAAAAAGAAAAAAATATTGAGTGGATGCTGCTCCCATAGGTGGGGCTAGGATTAGGAAAGCACTGCTACCCAGACTGAATAATAGCCAGTTTTCTTCCATTGGGGAGGTTGGTTATTGGCCTCGGAAGTGGGAGAAGATGGATGACTGAGAAGGGATAAACAGAGGATTTTATGATTTTATGATTATGTGAACCCAGTCTGCAGTGATGAGCTGACACACAACTTCAAAGGCTTCACAGTGATGAATGAAAATGAACGCTATGATGCAGTGCAGCACTGCCGCTATGTGGATGAGGTGGTGAGGAATGCCCCCTGGACCCTGACGCCTGAGTTCCTGGCAGAACACCGGGTAAGCAGCTGGCCATAAATCCCCATCCATGTCTAGAGTCCCCTCAGTATGTAAAGGCTTTTTCCATAGTTGTGTTTTCCTTGTGCCTTCTATATAGGTTTTATATCACGTAGGTTATAGCAGTGATTATTATGAACACTAGCAATCATCCCAACATTTATATGATGGCTAATGGTTTATAAGCACTTTTATAACCATTAATAAGTCCATTTGCTCTCCATAACAATCTTGTAGTGTGATTTTGTTTCTACTTTATATATACGAAGAATAAGGCTCAGGTTGTACCATTAGCAGAGCCAGAATTGAACTGTCAATTCCAAAATTACTTTTCAATACTCTGTGTGGGTCTCCTTAGAGTGTATCAGTCTCTTTAGAATAACCACAACCCTCACTGTGCTCTCAGCAGTTCACATTTCAGGAAAGATTAGCAGAGACTTAGATCAACTGAAGTTCTGTTTCAGGGCTTTGATTTCGTTCTAGAAACTGTATGGGTTCAGAAATCAGTGGCATTGCTCTTTTACTCAAGGAATAATCATTGTAAAACCCCTTTCTTCCTTTGAATTCCCCCACATTAGAGCAACACATGTCCTATAAAAAAAAAAAAAAAACATAAAAGAGGAAATGGAGTTCAGCCGGGTTGGAGGCCCTCAGCTCAAGAAGCAGCAAGTGTTTCACCAGTTCTTTGCAGGGCTATGTGAAAGTTGGAGAATTGTTTAGTAAAGCAGAAAGAAACAAAAGTAGCCAAAGTGCTTCTTTTTTTTGCTAGTCCTGGGGCTTGACCTCAGGGCCTGGGCACTGTCTCTGAGCTTCTTTCGCTCAAGGCTGGCACTCTAATGCTTGAACCACAGCACCTTTTCCAGTTTTTTCTGTTTGTGTGGTACTGAGGAATCAAACCCAGGGCTTCATGCACTCGAGGCAAGTACTCTACCACTAAGCCACTTTGCCAGCCCACAAAGTGCTTCTAAAATAATACTTGGGTAGGCCTGAAGCTAGGGGGTCTTTGGGTATTTAATATACCTTTTCTGGGTCTTTGGTTTTCCCCACCAACAATTAACAGTCATGGCGCCAAGAGTGATGGACAACACTGTTTTGAACAATGCAAAGAGGCAGGCCCTGGCAGAAGTGGATGCATGGGGAACTACTGACTTCTCTTCTCCCCTTGTGAGCAGTATATTTCGCACATGCCTTGCCTATCATCCTTTCTTATTCCGTTTTGTTATATAGGCACTTTCTGAAATGATCTCCAAGTCGTTGTACAAAGGAGTTGCTGTTTAACAAAGCAGTTTGTTAATACAGTATAGCTTGATCAGTACCACTCCTTTCAGCATTCTCACCCTTGCCTACCGTTCTTTACTTTGCTGCCTTTGGACCCCGACAGATTGTTCATGGGTATTTGAGATGTGAACATGCTTCACACTGCAGTGGCTTCTGTAAGTTGTGAATAGTGGTATTGGTAATTATATCAGCAAAGCCCTATAGATTTTGGGGGGGAGTAAGTGAGTTATACTGTGTCTCTCAAAAAAAAAAATGATTGAAGCCAGGCAAAAGTGGCTCACATCTAAGTCTTCTACACTCCATCTTTAAAATAACCAAGAAAAAGCCAAGGCTGGAGGTATGGCTTAAGTGGTAGAGTACCAGCTGAGCAAACAAGCCTAAGTTTAAGGCCCAGTATTTAAACCTTGGCACTGGAAATCTGGTAAACCAGTGCCACTAATCTCTTTCCACTCTTGCAACAGGTATTTAGAGTCATAGATAATAAATACTGAAACTAAAAGTCCTTACAGAGCTCTGGGTTTGTTTGTTTTTAGGATAAATGTATTTATGTAGTAAGAAAGCTCTTGGTTTCTGTTTTTATATTTTGCCTTTTTTTATGAGCTGAGAGAACCAGTTGACACATATAATATTTATGGAACCTTTAATTTGACCAATCCTTATAGATCCAGGAGGCTGTGGAGAGTTCCTCCTTTCCTGGGTTCCACCTATTATTCCTCTTGTCTTATTGGTCACAGCATTTATACTGGCACACAGAGAGGGGCTAACATTTCTAGTATTCAGGGAGAAATATCTAGAAGAGAAACTGGCTATCTTCAGAGTTAAAATTGATAAGTTTTGTTGGATGGTTTTGTGAATAGATCATGGAATTTGTGAGCAAAAGGAGATAACATCCATCTGAGGCCTAGCCTCTGCTTATTGTACTTTGAGAATATTTACAGAGTTGCTATTACTATTGTTATTATTATTATTACCATTATTTTACACTATTTATATTGAGGGGATTTCATCATTATACCTCCACATACTTGGAGCCTTTTATTTGTTTTTGGTGCTGGTACTTGGGCTTGAACTCAGGGCCTGGGCATTGTCTTTTAGCTGTTTTGCTCAAGGCTAGTGTTCTGTCACTTGAGCCACAGCTCCACTTTTGGCTTTTTGGTGATTAAATGGAGATAAGAGTCTCACAGACTTTTTTTTTTTTTGCCTCAGCTAGCTTCGAATGGTGATTTTTAGTAGATTACAGGTATGAGCCACCAGGGCCCAGCTTAGGGATCTTCCTGACTGGCAGTTTCCCAGGTTTGAAATGTCTCCTTGTTGTCAGATTGATTTCGTAGCCCATGATGACATCCCATACTCTTCTGCTGGGAGTGATGATGTTTATAAGCACATCAAGGAAGCGGGTGAGTAAGCTTACGTCCATCTTCATGTATGAGGTCTTGGGCAGCTATAGAGATTCAGGCATATTGCTACTTCACAGAGGGAAATTTGTACATTGAAAAATTCATCATCCCCTGGTCATACTTTGGGTAACTGTATAGGTAACATAGTTCTGACATCCATCAGTTCTGGATTTAAATTTTGATATATCTCTGAAATTTTAGGGAACTCTTTTCCAGCCCAGTACTTTTCTTTTCTCTTCTTTCCTTTTTTTTTCTTTTCTTTCCCTTTCTTTTCTTTTGTCAGTCATGGGGCTTGAACTCTAGGTCTGGGTGCTGTCTGCCAGCTCTTCAGCTTAAGGCGAGTGCTCTACTCTTGAGCCACAGCACTACTTCCGGTTTTCTGGTGGTGTATTGGAGATAAGAGTCTCACAGATTTTTTTGCGGTGGCTGGCTTTGAACCTCTATCCTCAGATCTCAGCCTCCTGGTAGCTAGGATTACAGGTGTGAGCCACCAGTGCCTAGCTCTAATACTTTTCTTAATATTGAGGCCATGTAGGCCCTCCTTTTCTTACTTGTGGCTCTTGATTTAGCCCTCATTCTGCATGCCATTTTTTGTAGCCTTCACTTAGTAGGAATGGAGGTGTGTTTCCTGAGGAATAGAAAGGAGAGCTGCTGTGTTTGCATTTAGTCCTGCCTGAGCATGCCAGAATCTCATAATGTTTGTCATTTTGTATTCTGGAGGTAGGCATGTTTGCTCCAACACAGAGGACAGAAGGTATCTCCACATCAGACATCATCACCCGAATTGTCCGAGACTATGATGTGTATGCAAGACGGAACCTACAGAGGGGCTACACAGCAAAGGAGCTCAACGTCAGTTTTATCAATGTGAGTTCTAACCTTGGTTCCTTATGATACTTGTTGCTTCCCACTACATCTGAGCTGAACTTGCTTGTCATGTCTGCTGTGATTATCATTCCCCAATGCTTCTTTAAAGGGAGCACAAAGAGTTAAACAGAGGCCCTTTCTGTTCTAAGGCTCTAACACCAACATATTGTTATAAAGACAGTGAATAAGATGGTTAAAATATAATACACTAGGGGCTGGGAAGGTGGCTCAGTGGTAGAGTGCTTGCCTTGCATGCCTGAGGCCTTGGGTTGGATTCCTCAGCACCACATAAGCAAAAAGAAAAAAGCCGGAAGTGGCACTGTGGCTCAAGTGGTAGCGCGCTAGCCTTGAGCTGAAGAGCTGAGGGACAGCACTCAGGCCCCACAACTGGACCCCCCCCAAAAAAAATATGTCAACACATTTAAAATAATGGCTCTTAACTTTTTTTATCCTTTGGTGGTACTGGGGTTTGAACTCAAGCACTCTGCTGCTTAAACCATACCCCTACCCCTTTTGGCTTTATTTATTTTTTCAAGTAGGATCTTGAATTTTTGCCTGGGCCAGCCATGGACCTTGATCTTCCTCCCATTGCCTCCCAGTACCTGGTAGTATAGGCATGTGCCCCCTCCCCGCTTACTGGTTGAGAAGGGGTCTCACTACTTTTTTGCCTAGATTGGACTGGAACTTAAGTTCTCTTGATCTCTGGAGTAGCTGGGATTATAGGCATGATACTTGTTTTGTTTTGTTTTGTCAGTTGTGGAGCCTGAGCTCTGGGCCTGGGCTCTGTCCCTCAGCTCCTTAGCTCCAGACTAGTGTTCTGCCACTTGAGCCACGTGCCACTTCCAGATTTTTCTGCTTATGTTGTGCTGAGGAATCGAACTCAGGGCCTCATGCATGCAAAGCAAGCACTCTACCACTGAGCCACCTTCCCAGCCCTGAAACTTTTTTGATTGGATATTTTAAGAATCTGATAACAGCTATGGATCCTTTCTCTGTATGGATAGTAGCCTATATTTTGTATGCAGTTTCCCCATATGAACCCAAGTTTTAGAAATTGACTTCTGAAAGCTTAAGTTAAAACCAGGCATGTTTGTAAATGCCTGTTATCTTAGCATTTGGAAGACAGGGATAGGAGAGATACAAGTTCATGGACAGCCTGGACTACACAATGAGACCTTGTCTCAAAACACAAAGAAACCATCAAACAAAACACAACAAAAGTTTAAGTTTACCTTTGTTTAATGTTGCCTTTTAGAAATGCCATATTTATTTTTGGGTCCGGTAGTGGGGCCTGAACTCTGGGCCTGGGCGCTGTCCCTCAGCTCTTCAGCTCAAAGCTAGTGCTCTACCACTTGAGCCACAGCGCCACTTCCGGCTCTTTTTCTTTTTGCTTATGTGGTGCTGAGGAATCGAACCCAGGGCCTCGAGCATGCAAGGCAAGCGCCCTACCACTGAGCCACCTTCCCAGCCCCATGCCATATCTTTTGTATAAAAGTTATACTTCAATTTATTTAAAAAGGAGAAAGTTACTAAATGTATCATCTACATAACTAGTTAATAGTGTTTCTTCATCTGCTGTTAGCTCAGTGAATTAATCTATAAGAATGGTAAGATGCTGCTAGTGGTATATGCCTTTAGTCACAGTACTCAAAAGTCTGAGAAAGAAGGATCTCCAGTTCAAGACCAATCTGGGTTACATAGCAAGACCTTGCCGAAAAAGAGAAGGAAGGAAGGGAGGGAGGAAGGGAGGGAGGAAGAAAGGGAGGAAGGGAAGAAGGGAGGGAGAGAAGGAGGCTGAGAGTATAGCTCAGTAATAGAAGTGCTTGCTTAGCACATACAAGGCCCTGGATCTGATCCCCAGCACCACAAAACAACAAAATCCTAGATGTATTTGTTCTCTTCTCTTTCTCTTTCTCCTCTATCTTCCTTCTCCTCTTTTTCCATTTTGGTGTTGGAGATTGAAACCAGGGACATGTGCAACTAAGCTGAAGCCTTTCCCTTTCTTCTTTATGATCTGGAAATTAGAATTAGGAGACTACTTTTTTTTTTTCTTTGTCAGTCATGGGGCTTGAAGTCAGGACCTAAGCTTTTTTGCTCAAGGCTAGCGCTCTACCACTTCGAGCCACAGTACCACTTCCAGTTTTTGGTGATTAGTTAGAGATAAGAGTCTCTTGGACTTTCCTGTCCTGGCTGGCTTTGAACTGTGATCCTCAGTTCTCAGCCTCCCTGAGTTGCTAGAATTACAGGCATGAGCCAGTGGCACCAAGAATGCTTCTCCAGAGAGATCATACCACTTCCATTACCTTTGGAAAAGTTGGTAGGACCAACGAGTATCATCTTTATTTTAAAAATGAGTAAATGGATGCCCAAATACTAAAAACAGAAAAACAAAAAACACAACTCCTTTAACAACATAGAATAACCAAGTATAATAAATACATTAACTAATTAAATAAAGATTAGTACTTCTTTCAACCTCTTACAGTTGTCATAGTCTTGATAATGTTGGGCAGTGATCTTGTTACTGCACGCACTCTCCATTTTGGATCATGTTGGACATATTCATATTCCAAGATTTGGTTTTATCTTAAAATAATCTGAATAAGATGATCATTTGCAGCCTGTCTTTTCTGTGACTGTAAATGAAAGCAAAACAAAATGCTAAAGAATGAGGAAAGTGTCAATGGTCATTTTTTTCTTTCTCTTTTGGTCAGGAGGGTCAGGATGGGTATTATTTGTGAAAACAGTTATTTCTTTACCTAGGAGAAGAAATACCACCTGCAGGAGCGTGTTGACAAAGTAAAGAAGAAAGTAAAAGATGTGGAGGAGAAGTCAAAAGAATTTGTTCAGAAGGTAGAGGAGAAAAGCATTGATCTCATTCAGAAATGGGAGGAGAAGTCCCGAGAATTCATTGGAAGTTTCCTGGAAATGTTTGGTCCAGAAGGAGCACTGGTAAGGTTCCTTCCTCCCAGGCAACTTGAGGAATTCCCGTGCTGAGGAAAGAAGAGTAGAACCCTGGAGCAGATGGGGACATCTTGTCTGTTTCCCTTTACCTTCAACTGTCCCTCAAAAGTACTTGAAAATCTTTACAGAGGGTCTGGGAAGGTGACTCAGTGGTAGAGTGCTTGCCTTTTATGCATGAGACCCTGGGTTCGATTCCTCAGCACCAAATAAGCAGAAAAAGCCAGAAGTGGCACTGTGACTCAAGTGTTAGAGCACTGGCCTTGAGCTCTTCAAGCTCAAGGACAGTTCCCAGGCCCAGAGTTCAGGCTCCACATCCGCCAAAAAAAAATCTTTACCGAAAGAAATCACACATTATCTAAATAGTTTTGTAAGCTTACCAGCACTTAGAAATCTAGTGACAAAATAAGTGAGTGGCCTTGCCCAGATTACTTCTATTTTAAACGTTTACCTGAAGAAAGGAAAGAATGGAGAACTTTACAGTACAAAGAAAGCCAGACACGGGTGGCTCACACCTGTAATCCTAGCTACTCTGGAGGCTGAGATCTGAGGATCACCGTCCAAAGCCAACCGGGGCAGGGCAGGAACATGGGTGAGACTCTTATCTAAAATAAACACTAAGAAAACTGGAAGTGGTGCTGTAGCTCAAGTGGTAGAGCACTAGCCTTGGGCTGAAACGCTGAAGAACAGCGCCCAGACCCTGAGTTCAAGCCTCAGGACCAAAAAACAACAAGCAAACAAAAACAACAAAGAAAGTTGCCTTCACTGCACAGCAGCAGAACCTTGTGAAGCAGGAGCTCTCTCATTAAGAATTAGCAGAAGAATTGTTTTGGTTTTTGTTTTTGTTTTACCAATAATCCTAGCTCAAACATCAGGAAGGAACTGATTGTGAGGGTGTTTGGATATTAGAACAGATTATGTGGGAAGAATGTGAAATTTCCTTTTCAGAGTACCCAAATGGGTTAGATAACCTTTTGCCTGATTTAATTACTTTGTTTTGACCTGGAGCCCTCAAAAAATTCCCTTGAGATAGAAGTCCGGGATTTTGTGGCTGTGGGTAACAAGTGGGAACCATTAACTAAATAGTATATCATGGATTGCTTTAGCGAGGAAATTGCTTAGAATTACAGCTGTGTCCCTGCTGTGGCTCAGTCCATCATGTTTAATGTTGCAGGGCCTGGAGGTGGTAGAGAGTTTGCCTGGCATTTGTGAGACTGGGGGCTTGCTCTTCCTGGCAATAAAAAAAGAACCGTGGAGGGGGCACTCACGATCATTTGGAGTCTCCAGTGGTGATTTAATATGATCCATACAAATCTTCTAGCTCTTCCTTTTGTCTCCCCAGAAACACATGCTGAAAGAAGGGAAAGGCCGGATGCTGCAAGCCATCAGTCCCAAGCAGAGTCCCAGCAGCAGCCCTACTCGGGAGCGCTCCCCATCCCCCTCCTTTCGCTGGCCCTTCTCCGGCAAGACTTCCCCGCCTTCCTCCCCAGCAAATATCTCTAGGCGCAAGGCTGCAGCCTATGATATCAGTGAGGATGAAGACGACTAACTTTTCTTCCCTTGTTTCCTTTCCCTCCCTCTGTCCCATCACCTTCAGAAGCTCTCTTTTGAATTCCACGTTCTGATCCCAACACTAAACCTAAGGACAACTACAAAGGAAAAGACAGCCTGGGCAAGAGGAGCTGGGGATGGGGAAACCAAAACAGCCCATCCTCTGAGAGCCAGTCGCCCATACCAAGGAGACTGACTGCGCAAGCCTGTTGCGCAGCTTTCTGCCCTCCCCAAGGACTTTGCGTTACTGTTTATGTTCATGTGATCTTGACAGGGAAATTGTCATTTTTATTAATTTTTTTAAAACTTAGCCTTTCAAATATAGTAAGTAGAACTAATTTTTTGCCCCTGAGGAGTGGGCAGAAGAAGAAAGTGGTGTAATACCCAGAGGCCTTTTCTTCCTAACACACTGTAGCGCTTGTCCTCTGTTCTCAAGCAAAGTGGCTGGCCAAGTCCTTCAAGCAATGAGCCATGCTGATGGGGAATTTGGAGGGAAGATCAGAATTTTGGTTACCTTAAAAAAAAAAAAAAGAAAAAGAAAAAAGATCAAACTGAGTTAGTTACAGATCCGCTAAATGAACTACTGGTACATGTATGTGTCATCATGGCTGTGAGGAGGAGGAGATTGAGTCTGACTTTTACTCCCTGAGGAGTTGCTTGCTGAACCCAATGGGGTCCATGAAGATGCTGATGGGGATGGAACTAATCTACATAGCATCAGCTTTAGTCTTTCTGCTGTGTTTATCTTCTCAGAAATTTCTCTTGCCCAGTTATTTGGGAGCTCTTGTCACTCTTACTGCCAAAGAAGGCACACTGAGGGCTGCTGTAACTGGGGGGGGGGGGGAGTGGAAGAGACTCAATCCCCATATATCCCTGTAGATTCAGTTCCTACCGGGATTAAGTCAGTGCTATTACCCAGCTTTATACAAAGAAGATTTTGTAAATGTCTGTACTTTGAACACGAATACTATGAAAACTTCAGAGCATAGAGGCAAAGGCATAAGGAAGCACCTTCCTTTCTTGTCCCCGCCCCCTCCTTTTTATAATTAGAACCAGTACTTCCTAGAATGTATCTTTTTCTCTGAGGGCTGCAATTGGCAGGACTTCCCTCCCCTTTTCCTCCAAAAGCCACAGGTTCACATTCTACCTATGCCTGGTGGTGGTGGTCCTACCTCCTTGGTTAAGTTGCCCAGGAGGAATTCAGCACTTTAAATTTCCACCCGAAGGATGCTCTGCTTAATCAACCCTTGCTACTGAGCATGATGTAATTTTTAAGCCCCTGGCATCCTCTATCCTGTCACATCACCTAGCCGACCATCAGTAATCCTAGCTGGATTAAGGGCAAAACTGTTTATGTCCAGGACCCATCTGCCTCTCATAAATACCCCTTGTAGGGGTGGAGTTTTTAATGTTTTCAGCAAAGAAAACCACTTTCTTGTCTCTTGTCCCTGTGAACTGTGAACATCTCAACGTCAGTCAAAGCTACTGGTCTGCCTGAGGGCCCGAGGTTAGTGTCACTGCCTGCCTGGTGGTACTACATAGGCTCTTAGCCACAGGTAGAGCATGGCAGAGGGGTGGGACAGGGGAGCTACTTCCTGTCCTGATGGCCCATGGGAACTCATTTCTGACTCTTTTCATGAAGTGCTGTTTTTCCTGTCATACCTGACTCGCAGCCTTGGTCAGGAATCCTATCTTTGAAGCAGCTGAAGCTAATGTTTTCCCACAGTGTGCAGCTGTTTGTATGGCTCATTTTTAGCTTCTCTGCTTCAGTCTTCTCTGTTTCCTTCTGCCTTATTCTCCCTGGTACAGAAAGGCAGTGATGCTGTTTATACATTTACCTGCTTGTTCTCTCAACGTGCCCCTCACCCAAGTGTACTGGAAGGCAGGGAGTTGCCCACAGGGTGGCTGCCCTCCCTGCAGTCACTTCTCTAAATGTATTGTCCGTGGGCTGCTGTGGCCTGCTGGGCACTGGGATGGAGCATCTAGGCTGACAAGATCTGTGCCCATGCTGGGGGAGGCACCTGTGCCCGCTTACTGTCTGTCTTCCAACACTAGTATGTTTTCAGACAATTTGGGCTGAAAAACTTGCAGTGTGGCTTTAGGGTGAGATACTTAGGTGCTAGACAGTGGTGCTGATAGAAGGATCCATTGCTGGTCATTGGTGCCTAGTTAAAGGAGGTTAGTGGTGTGTACACTACGACCATGCCTGCGATCTGCAGTTCATACTGTTGGAGGCTGCGGGACCTCAGGCTGTGGAGCTGTTTCTCTGAATCTGACCCAGGAAAACAGGCAGCCTGGGTGGGCCAGACATGGCCAAGACAAAAGAGCCTGGCAGACCTCTGGCCTCAGAGCCTCTGTGTGAGAAGAGGAGACTGAAACAGAAGCCCTGCAGCTGGTGCCGAGGAGACATTTTGGCTGTGACACGGTGTCTGGACGGAACTTTTTAGCTGTTTACCCACTGAGCTACAAGCACTGGAGCATAGAGGTTGCCACTGTGCAACAGTAGAAATGGCTCACTGCTGCAGCTAAAGCCAAACACCCTGGTTTGCAGAGGTTTGAGGGTGATGGTTGGGGTTGTGAAAAGGTTGAAAATCCTGAAGCAAAGGACATGAGGGCGCCTAAGAGACATCTGACCTTTCCTCACAGGATAATGGAGGCAAAACCAGAGCTGCTCTTGCTTTCCTCGAGGCCTCATAGCTGCTCTGTCAGTGTTTGGCATGCCCTCCCTCCCCATGCTTCTTCCTACTGAGTAGCCCCCTGCATCTGGATCACTCCTAGACAGCTTGCTTCCTACAGCCCACTGCCTTTTTTATTCTGTTCCACACCCCTGATCTAAAATCTTCCCAAATCAGCTTGCTGCTTTTCTTTAATGCCCTAAAGCCATAGCTTCTAGATTTTCTGTCAGCATACATGCAGCAGGGGTTAAATCAGTTTAAGTTTTTTAAAAAAGATTCCCTTAATGTTTTAAAGACTATTGGTATTTTTTTAAAGCTTACCAATATAAGTATTTTTTAAAGTTATATTTTTCAATCTCATAACAGTGATTGTTTTCTCTCATCCAGCAGATGGTCAGGGGATAAAGACAGTCCCTAGCTTCTATTTTTCCAAACAAATGAGTAGAACCTGTTCTTGGGATTATACTATTCAATGTGGATTTTCTTCAAATGAAAAAGTGTTCTGTCCGCCAGAGTTTCCTGTTAGTACTCAAGCACGGGTAGGAAACAAGAGCAGCAGGTTTCACAGTGGTGTGACTCAGGTTGTCTTAGGTGGGAAGTGGTTCTTCCACCCTTTGGGAGGCACTGACTATTTGAACACTGAGAATTAATTGGTTGGGTGTTTTGTGTTGATCCTGAAAAGAAAACTAGAGTGCCAGAAAGAATTGCAGGCCTTGGCATAAGCATTCGCCCATCACCAGTGCGAGTGCGTGTGGAAGTTTCCTCAGTCAGGCTTCAGTGTATCATTTTCCTGTCTGCTATTAATTTGTTCAAAGTTATTTTGGCTTGTACCATTTCGCCAATAAAGGCAATATGATTTTACCTAGTGTTCCTTTTCCTGGTATGTAAGACTTATGTACTTGGGGCTTTGATTTTGCATAAATTTGTCTTCCAAAATCAAGCTTTAAGATACTATTACCAGGTGATTCCTTTGCAGCTTGGCACAAGATTCAGCAGGGTCTCCATAGCTCCCAGGCCTGTTGTTATTGGTCCTCTGGGGACACACCTATAAGGAAAGAGTGCCCTCTCTGCTCTCCAAAAGCCTGGCCCCTTTGAGACCTTGGGCTGCCATTCTGCCCAGCCAAGTGTACTACTGCTCTTATTCCAGGCACACTCCCACATACACTTTTCCCCTGCTGAAATGACTTCCACACATAAGCTCTCAGGGTTAATGTCACCCTCAGAAGCAGTGCGCCCAGTTACAGATTTCAGACTTCCTCCTGTTTATTATAAAACTTAAAAATCCCTTCCTTGGGCAAGATTCTGCCTATTACATAGTTTTACCTTCCTCTGTGTGCTCAAAGGTAACCTGCCAGCTTGTGCTGACAATGAACACGTTGAGTGACAGAAATCTCCTATGAAGTACAGCATCACTTCCATTGTCCAAGCCATTCACCTCAGGCTTTGAGGTTCAGTCCTAGGTCTGGAGATGAGAAAGGTTCATATCCAGCTTTGTAGTCTTTCCTTCGGTAGTAAATTCGTGTCAACACGGTCAGCAGGAAAGTCTCCAATATGAGGATGTGGCAATTCATCACTGCCATGTGGGGCGTAACACAACATAGATTAAGCTCCCTGAGGCAGATGGAATCCCTCTTGCAGCCTAGCTTATGAGCTGAGAATTAACTAGTTTTCCCCAAACTAGGACCTAGGGATACTAAATTGTCTAAAGTGATAACGATGAATGGTAAAGCCAGAATCAGAACTTGGCTCTAATTTCTATGATCTGAGGTTAGCATTGAAGCTTATTTCTCATGCATTTAACCAATCTACCCACATCCAGTCTTGTCCAAGGAGTTGGAGGACTAACCCTATGGCTTCTTGAAATGGCTGTCAGGACTGGGTTTGCAGTTCTCTGTGTTAACCTCTATGCTGATTTCTTGACTCCTTTCTGAATATTCTGAGTAAATGTCAAACAGACCTAACCTCAGTCCCAAGGTCCATCTGACAGAGAAGCTCACCTTGAGATCTGGTTTTAGAGGAAAAGGGAGGTGAACAAGCAATCTGCCCACCATTGGCCAGGATGGAGAAAATGGAAGGCTGCAGAGCAGTCAAGATGACAAGCACCTGCAGAACAGGGGAGAGAGGTGGTGTTGAGCCTGCGTCCTGCCAGCCATGGTGCAGATTTGAGTCCTGTTAAATCTGTGCAGCTACAGAAGATTGGAACTCATACTTGGTTGAAAGTTAAAGGCGTTTTTATCTTTAGGCAAATTGTAATCTTCTACCAGTATTTTATTAGAGTTGCTTACAAAAAACAACTTATTTCTTTGTCTTACTCCTTGCCACTTACTGGATAATTAAAGGCAGCTAACTCACCTAGGTCATTTTAAGAACAGGAGGGCAGTTAGCCAATAAAGTGTCTGAGCGCTCACTTTAGTGACACTAAAATTGGAACAGTATAGATGTTCGTGGTCCCCGTGCAAGGGATGACACACAGATTCGTGAAGCATTCCATGTTTTTAAAAATAAGGTCTTGCCGGGCGCTGGTGGCTCACGCCTGTAATTCTAGCTACTCAGGAGGCTGAGATCTGAGGATCGCGGTTCAAAGCCAGCCCGGGCAGGAGAGACCGTGAGACTCCTATCTCAAATAAACCACCAGGAAACCGGAAGTGGCGCTGTGACTCAAGTGGTAGAGCGCTCGCCTTGAGCTGAAGAGCTGAGGGACAGTGCCAGGCCCAGAGTTCAAGCCCCACGACCGACCAAAAAAATAAAAATAGTCTTGCCAGGTGCTCATGCCTGTAATCCTAACTACTCTGGAGATAGATTTGAAGATCACTATTTGAAGCTAATCCAAGCAGAAAACTATAAGATTTACCTCCAATTAAGTACCAAAAATCTGGAAGTAGATAGAGTGCCTAGGCCTGAGTTCAAGCCCCAGGACCTGCATGAACACACACGTGCGCACACACATACAAGACCTAGCAATATAAGACACACGAAGGTGGTGGTGTCATGCACCTGCTGGCCACGGAAAGCCAAGGAGTAGAGTCAAGGTAGGCTCTCTCCAGCAGCTTTCTGAGGGAGCACGCCTTGCACCTTTTGGACTTCCAGCCTCCACGTTCCTGTTAGTCTCCACGTGATTTGTGGTATTTTGGTGATAATGGAAGCTATAATGAACTATGACAGCACAGAAAGACAAACAAATGGAAGAATGGAGACCATTTTCCATTTTGGGTTTCTCACGGGAGGGAAACCCAAAATTGAAGAGAAAGAATCTCAGTCTTGCGTTTAGGCTTGTTTGTTTTATACTGGGGTTTGAACTTAGGGCCTGAGTGTTATCCCTGAGCTTTTGTGCTCAAGGCTCTACCCCTTGAGCCACAGATTTTTGGTGGTTAATTGGAGATGAGAATTTCACAGACTTACCTACCCAGGATGACTTCAAACCACAATCCTCAGATCTCAGCCTCCTAGGATTACAGACATGAGCCACTGGTACCCAGCTTAGGCTTTTCCATTTCACTTCTGAGTCCCATTTCTTTGAAGCTCTATTATTAAACTTTTTTCCCCCTTCTTTGAGGGCATAGTTACCTGGAACAGTGCAAATTTGGCTCCTATGTTCTGCTCACCCAGGTGCAGCTTGGCCTGACGGAAAACAATGGCCAGAGCCCAGAGAGCCAGCAAGGTGGACACGCCAAGGATAGTGTTGATCCACAGAGCTGTGCTCTTCTCAGAAATCTGGGGCAGAGTAGAAGGTAGTCAGTGAGGGAGGCGAGCTTTCATTTCTCCTCTTCCAAACCTCAAAGCCTTGATCTAGTCCACTTCCTCTCTCCTCACTGGAGTCTCCAGGCCTCTGCTTTTCTACCGCCCCCTGCATCAAGTATGCTGGCCACTATCATTTCTGGAGGCCAACTCCTTTCTCCTGGCTTACGTCTGCTGGGTCGTAGATGCCATCAGGGATGAGAAACAGGCCCACAAGGCCCAGCATTATCTTGAAGAAGGCATATTGGAATGGACCCAACATGAGCAGCTGAAGTTTCTTTCTGAAGGAGAAAGGAGGTTAGCAACATGGACCCCCAAATCAACCCACTCCAGCACCTCCCAGATCCCTCCTGGGTCTTAGGCTGGGGGCTGCCTCAAAGACACCGAAAATTGTCTCATGGATGAGAACTCAGGAACACTACAGAATGTTGAGCTCATTGGAAGCCTCCACCTTCTCCCTTGCTTCCCCCTCACCCCGAGACTAGAAGACTGTCTAATTGAGCAAGAACTAGCAACATTGGCCTCAAGCCCACTCACCAGAACAGGCAGAAGCAGGAAGTAAAACATAGTGTTTGCAGTGTGTCTAAAGTCTGCAGGGCAGAGAGCTGAAGCTTAGAAAGCAGCTCCTAAGCTCCCCGGGCCTGGGTGTCCATGCACAAGGCCCAGCTGTGGGCTGGCCAAGCCGAATACCAAGAGCCTTGAAGCCAGGATAGAGGGCCAGAAGAGGCTCACCTGACTCCCAGGACGCCTGCCCTCCTGCCTCACCTGGTGAGCATGAGGTGGGGACAGCAGGGGCAGCAGCAGCAGCAGGGGCCAGTGTGGATTCTCACGGGGGTGTCCTTCAGTGTCCTCACCAGTGCCTCCTTGCCCCCAAAGCCTTCCACCATGACTGTCATGAGCAGGTAAAAGCAAACTGCATAAAACCTGGGATTGGGATTGCAAGAATGGGGGGAGGGGACAGCTGAAGGTCAAGTGCCTTTGCTGCCCAGGAGAGAAAGACTGTGGGAAGTACTGGGGGTGCACTGAGGGAAAGATGAGAGGGGTTGGTATTCTAGACATGTGACTCAAGGGACTAGGAGGAGGGAATTGGGGGCTCTGAGAACCAAAGGCCGAAGAAGGCGCCCAGATCATGTGTCCTGCAAGAGAACCTGAAGTTGATTAGCACAGGTTGAGAAAGGCTTGATTCACAAACAACTGGGATCAAAGACATGGACTCTAGGGGTCCTATGGAGTCAGCGGGGGGGGGGGGGTTGGGAGTGGGACCAGACACTCACGAGGTTATGGCCATTTCCACGAGCATGAGAGATCGAGGGATCCAGAGACCAAAACAGCAGAACACAGCCACCACCTGTGAGGTCGGAGGCGTGGCTCAGTAGAGTGCTAGCCAATGAACAAACGCATCAGGTACTGAGTTCAAGTGTCCTTGTCAGGCCAAAATAAAACCCCTCAGAAATGACAGTTAGTAGAGCTGGGGGTATGGCTCAGGGGTAGAGCCTGTGCACAACATGTGCACGAGCCTGGGTTCTGTCCCCAGCACTACCCTCTCCATTTATATTAGTTAATTTAATCAACTACTTAAATTAGGCAAATCAAAGACATATAATGGCTGTAGGGTGAGTTTCAAAAGCCTACTTTAGAGAGTAAAGCTGAGTATAACTCTGGGGAAGATGTCTTCTGTACTGGCCGTTTGAACAAAAGGAAGGAAGCCTGCTTCTCACAGCAATACTGGGGCAGGGGAGGAGGGAGTGGGGTCACTGGGGGGTGCAATGTAATATCTCTCTCTTTCTCCCCCCCCCCATTCTGTATCTCTCTTGTACTGGGGCTTGAACTCAGAGCCTGGGTGCTGTCTCTGAGCCTTTTTCTCAATGCTGGTGCCATAGTTCCACTTCTGGCTTTTTGGTGGTTAATTGGCCATTAGAGTTTTACTTTCCTGAGTTGACTTCAAACCACAATCCTCAGATCTCAGGCTACTAAGTAGGTAGCATTACAGGTGTGAGCCACCAGTCTCTATCTTGCATGATGAACTCTATGTCTTTGCTTGCTGGCCCTCTAAAGAAGCGGTGATCAGAGTGGAAAACTGGTCTGATATGAATTGCTCAGTTTAGCAGAATTCGCACCTTGGTCCTTGCCTCTTTCCAGTCCCTCCCAAAGGATGGCCACAGGGCCCTCACCGTGGGGGCAGAGCTACTCCACAGCAGAGTCCTCCTCTTGATGGGGCAAAGGGTGTTCTTGTATAGATAGACTGCATCCTCCAAGAAGATGGCAATCGAGCCCAGCACGAGAAAGGTCAAGATGACTGTGAGGGTGATTTCCACAGGTCCCAATACTAGAGTAGAAGAGGAAGGTAGACTCCAGTGAGCTGAAGGTCAGATACTGCTCCCGTAGATTCGACCAGCTTTCACTCCTTTATTATAAAGGGATGTTAGGGTTAAGACATGATGGCTCATACCTGCTATCATAACAACTTGGAGGCAGAGCCCAGAAGGATTTGAGGGCTAGCCCAGGCAAAAAGTTCATGAGATGACCCTTGTAGCTACATGGCTAGTCAGGAGGATCTGGACTCAGGTTAAAAAAAAAAAAAAGTAAGACCCTATCTGAAAAATAAAGAATAAAGAGATGAAGGTACGGCTCAAGTGCAGAAGTCCTAGAAAGAAAGGGGAAAAGGAAGGGTGAAATGGAGAAAAGAGCTAAGAGGAAAAAGGAAGAAGGAAGGGCCTTCAAAATTTTCTCCAACTTTTTGTTATTGTTGTTGCTGTTGGTCGTGGGGTCTGAACTCTGGGCCTGGGCACTGTCCCTCAGCTCTTCAGCTCAAGGCTAGCACTCTACCACTTGAGCCACAGCGCCACTTCTAGCTTTTTCTGCTTATGTGGTGCTGAGGAATCGAACCTAGGGCCTCATGCATGCAAGGCAAGCGCTCTACCACTGATCCACCTTCTCACTTGAGAGACTTGAGCCACAGTGCCACTTCTGGTTTTTGAAAAGTCCCTCTCATGGGAACTTTCCTGCCCAGGCTGCTTTGAACCGCAATTCTCAGATCTCAGCCTCCTGAGTTAGGTAGGATTACATGCATGAACCACCAGTGCCTGGCCTCCTTCATTTTTTAATTGACAAAGTTTTTAAATACTAAAAAAGCATAGTATTTCCATGGTACATTTTGATTTTTTATTTGTTTGTTTGTTTTTGAGAAGAGTGCTAATCCTGCGGCTTAAACGCAGAGCCTGGATGCTGTCACTAAACTTTACTCAAGACTAGCCTTCTGCTTCTTGAGCCATAGCTCCATTTCTGGCTAGAGTTTTACCGACTTTCCCAGATTGACTTCCAACCATGATCATTGTATCTCAGCCTCTTGAGTAGGTTAGGATTACAGGCATGAGCTATTGGAGCTTAGATACTTGATGCTTTGATGTATGTATAAGTGGTGGAATGGTGAACTCAGGATAATATATTTATTACCTCACGTTTTATCTTTTTGTTTTTCACATCAACATATTTCAAATAGAATATTAGCATCGTGTCATTATTATCTAGTGCCTCCATATTGTACAATGTCTCTCTTGAACTTTTGTCTAGTATTTGAGGATAAACCTGAGCTTTATGGTGAAACTGTCTCAAGAACAAAAACAAAAATCAAAAGAAGAAAAATCTATATAAATGTCATCCTCTGCAAAATGGTGTTTCCTCACCGTCCTGATCTGTACTGTTTTCTTGTTAAGTGTCACAATCTACATTCTTGGATTTGGCTCCCTGGCACACACCTACAATGGGAATGGCTGGGTTCCTGAAGTGAGGAGGCTCAGGTCTGCAGATATATCTCAATACTCCAGAGTGGTTTCACGAGTAATTGCACACGTCTAAATATTTACCAGTGACCTGCTTGGCCTGCTCCTTCTTAGGAGCACGTGTACTTTCCAACTCACTCTTTATTTTCCTCCTCAGGGCCCAGCTATTTCCAGGCTCTTCTTAAAGTCCACCAGCTTACTGATTAATGGTCCCAAAACACCCCTCCCCTGTTGAGAACCCTCACCTGCAGCTACAGTCAGGATAAAGTACACTCCTGGCCTCACTCAAATCAGGCCCCACCTTTCCTGCCCAGCCCTCTCAGTGATCCAATTACCTCCTGCGCTGCCAAAGTAACCTTGGGTCTTTCCAGATCTCAGCTCCTTGTCTGGAAATCGGGAAGCCTTGGCCCATTCCCTGACCTCCCCCGGCCCCAGCGCCACTTCCTGCCTCCTGCTTCCCCAATCCCACTCCTCCCCCTGGAGCCAGGCAGACCCCCGGCCTCCTTTGATCAGCCTTTGTGTTTCTTGGCACATTTTGTAGCAAAGCAATACCAGAATGACTTCCCTGGGTAAGACCAGGTCTCCACCTGAGCACTGGTGATGCTGTGGCTGGGAAAGCTGTTATAACACTCTTCACCTGGCCAGCAGTGAGCTCCTTCCTGCATGGCAAGCCCAACTGTCTCCACACTGGGAGCTGGTGTGAGCATACCCCCAGCTGGCAGCTCCAAGCAGGAGTTTCCTGGATGTGGCAGCCACTGGCTGGCGGTGCCAGGGCACCATTAAGGCATCTCTTGATACACTGGAAGTTGGCAGCACCCTGTCTCAGAGCATCTGCAAGGAAGGTGGACATGGTCCAAGGGCATGCCATGGTGCGTCCCAAGGCCCCAGGGCTCAGGAGCAAGTCCACTGTGTGAGAGATGGCTGGGGAAGGCTGTGCCACAGAGACACTGATCCTCTTCAACATCTTGGAGCTAGTTGACCATACAGTGGGAAAGCAAACAACATGTGTGTTTGTGTGCATGCGCGCACGCACACATTTTCTAGAAAGATGTAGGATTACTTGGTTCTTAATGGTTTTGGTGTCCAGAGAACAAGCTGAGTTCTGTCCTATGCCTTCCACTTTTTAATTTTATTTATTTTTGCAGTACTGATTTTGCTTCATAGTTTTTCACGTTGGGTCTCACACTTTCTCGCATGGTCAGCCTTGAACTATAATCCTCCTCTCTCCGCCTCCGGAACATCTGGGATTACAAGTGTGCACTACCACACCCAACCCTAAGCTTTTCACCTTCAAAAGTAGTTCAGCCATAGGATCCAGTGAGCAAGCACTGTGACAACACTTGTACAGATTCAGCCAAGTCGAGCCCCTTATTCACAACAGCTGCCCCTCTGGAGTGAGTTCAAAGGCTCTTTTCCAAGGAGGATGCTGTGCTGCTCTATGATTCCTAAAGGACTGGAATCATTTGGACACCATTTGAGGCTCTGGAATCTGAAGCATGTTCCAACTTCCAGTAGCCCTAATTTGAATGTGCCTTGAGGCTAGACTCTGTGGAGCCCCAGCTTTAGGTTTATCTCCTGGGCTAGGCTATGCATAGCCTTACTTTTAAGGCTGTAATGATGATGGACACTGGGTCATCCAACCCCCCAGGCTGGCCAGCTGAGGACCACCTCACCTAGGCTCCCTTAGCTGCTCCTGGTGACTCACCTCTCAGGAGCTGGGTTGCAGTGGGTGGGTGGGAGAAGCAGTCGGATGGGATGCTGTAATTGGTTCTCAGCACCTCCAGCAGATCTGCTGTGTACCTGGGGAGACACCGGCCTGATTCAGAACCCTTGGGGCTGAGGAATGGCTTGTCAGATTAGACTGACAACTGACCCAAATAGTGCAAGGTGTTTTGCCCATTGGCCCTAAACAGATCTGACTTACCATGACCAAAGTACTCATAATTCTCAGCATTCCAATCAGGGTACCAGCCCTGGGGCAGGTTGGGGAGAAAGAGCAGAAACAAGAGAAAGAGTGGAGCTGGACACTGCTTTTGCATGCCAGTAATCTTAGCTACTCAGGAGGCTTAAGTTTGAAGCCAGCCTAGGCAGGAAAGGCCACGAGACTCATCTCTAATTAACCACTAAAAACCACAAGTGGAGCTGCGGCTCAAAGCGTTAGAGTGCTAGCATTGGATGAAAGAGCTCAGGGACAGTGCCTAGGCCCTGGGTTCAAGCACCATGACCAAGGAGAGGAAGGAGAGAGAGGGGGAGGGAGGGGGGAAGAATGGGGTGGGATGGGAGAGAGAACTCAATTTGTTTTGTTTTGGGGGGGGAGTCCAGTTGTAGGCCTGAACTCTGGGCCTGGGCGCTGTCCCTCAGCTCTTCAGCTCAAGGCTAGCGCTCTACCACTTGAGCCACAGCGCCATTTCCAGTTTTTTTTTTTCTGCTTATGTGGTGCTGAGGAATCGAACCCAGGGCCTCATGCATGCAAGGCAAATGCTCTACCACTAAGCCACCTTCCCATCCCTGAGAACTCAATTTGGTTAGGGACTGTGTGTATTGCTCTTGGGAATGCCTTCCGCAGCCTCCAGCTCTGTCTAGTGGGGGAGGCAAAGGCAAAGCCTCAAAGCAGCCACTTGCAGGCTCAGTCCACAGTTCCCTGAGGACCTACAGGGCAGCCAGAGCATGTTCAGTTCTGCCTTTATTCTGAGCACTAGCAGACCAAGGACTCTAGGAGGGAAGCATGGAGGAAGAGGGACTGGTTCCCAGGCCAAGGCCTGTCACCCTTACTTACCTGGGGTCAAGTTTTAGCTGAGTGCGGCCTGGCTCCATTGTCTCCTTTCTGACTGGCTGTGACAGGCACTGAAGATCAGGAGAGACAGGAAGGGGCCTGGCAGAGCGGTGGGGTGGGGGCTCCCCCCAGCACTTCTCCAGAGAAACAGGACGGGACTGAGGGCAGCTGGAGTAGCTGGATCTCCCTTCTCCTGCTGCAGATGTGAGCCACCGGTCTCAGAGTTCACTCAGGAGGAATTTGATCCTCTAGGCTGGCTCTAGACTCCTCCCAAGGAGCCGTCCTTAGGTGTGGTCCCTCCCATAGTCTTACCTACCCTTTGCTTCTGGTCCACCCCCACCCTTCATCCTCCCCCTCAGCTTGCTCTCTGGGGCTTGCTAGACCCAACACAAAACTCCCCTTCCCTCTTTCACTCCTCCCTGAAAGTCTCCAGCTCAGTAACGCCTGAGGACTCTGGCAGGAACTCAGCTCTAGAGATGTGAGACTCACGGCTATGGTTGTGGGCTGGGAAGGTGGCTCAGTGGTAGAGCGCTTGCCTTGCATGCATGAGGCCCTGGGTTCGATTCCTCAGCACCACATTAGCAGAAAAAAAAAGCCGGAGGTGGTGCTGTGGTTCAAGTGGTAGAGTGCTAGCCTTGAGCTGAAGAGCTGAGTGACAGTGCCCAGGCCCAAAGTTCAGGCCCCACGACCAGACCCCCACCCCCAAAAAAAAAAAGAAAAGAAAAAAAGGCTGTGGTTGTCTGATGCTCCTAGCTTACTGGGTGGACAGGAGACCTGGCAGGAAAAGAAGAGGCCTGTGAGGGTTGATTTCTTGACACTTGAGCCCATCATATGTAGATGATGATTTAGCCAAGCACATGGGTTTGACTGAAATCAAGTGCAGGCTGCATTTTTTGGTTGTTGTTGTTGGTTGTGGGGCTTGAACTCTGGGTCTGGGCACTGTCCCTCAGCTTTTCAGCTCAAGGCAAGTGCTCTACCACTTGAGTCACAGCGCCACTTCCGGTTTTCTGGTGGTTAATTGGAGATAAGAGTCTCATGGACTTTCCTGCCCCAGCTGGCTTTGAACATAGATCCTCAGATCTCAGCCTCCTGAGTAGCTAGGATTACAGGCATGAGCCACTGGTGCCTGGCAAGAAGCTGTATTTTTAAAAAATTGTAGTCAAGGACTGGGAATGTGACTTAGTGGTAGAGTACTTGTCTAGCATGTGTGAAGCCCTGGGTTCGATTCCTCAGTACCACATAAACAGAAAAAGCCAGAGGTGGTGCTATGGTTGAAGTGGTAGAGTGCTAGCTCAGAGAGGCTTAGGGACAGATTCCAGGCCCTGAGTTACAAGAAAGAAAAAAAAAAGAGTCACAATCATACTGAGTGCTGGTAGTTCAGGTTTATAATCCCACCTACTCTAGAGGCTGAGATCTGAGGATTGTGATTTGAAGCTAGCCTGGCAGGAAAGTCTGTAAAACTCTCCAATTAACCACCAAAGAGCCCAAAATGGAGCTGTGGCTCAAGTGTAGAGTACCAGTACCAGCCTTGAATGGAAAAAGCTAAAGGATAATATGTAGGCCTTGAGTTTAACTCCCAGGATTAGTGCGCACACATACACACATATGCACAGGAACATGGTAAAGAAAGAACAATGTCGTTCTGTTGTTGTGTATGTGCCAGTACTGAGGCTTAAACTCAGAGCATCAAGCTTCTACTTGGAATATTTTTGCTCAAGGCTGGAGCTCCTGTTTCTCACTTTTTGGTGGTTAATTAGATTAAGTAGCCAGGATTACAGGTGTGAGCCACCAGCACAAGGCTCAGTAAGTATTTATTCAAATTTTCCACAGAAGAAAGCAGACATCCAGAGTAGTTAAGCGGTTGGGAGCTGGTGGCTCACCTCCATAATCCTATTTGCTCAGGAAGCTGAGATCTGAGAATCTCAGTTGGAAGCCAACTGAGCAGGAAAGTACTTAAGACTCTTATCTCCAATTAATCACCAAAAAGCCAGGAAGTAGAGATATGGCTCAAAGTGGTAGAGCACTAACCTTGAGCAGGAAAAAAGAAAGGAAGGGGGCTGGGAAGGTGGCTCAGTGGTAGAGCGCTTGCCTTGCATGCATGAGGCCCTGGGTTTGATTCCCCAACACCACATAAGCAAAAAGAAAAACAGCTGGAAGTGGCGCTGTGGCTCAAACGCTAGCCTTGAGCTGAAGAGCTGAGGGACAGTGCCCAGGCCCAGAGTTCAGGCCCCACAACTGGACCAAAAAAAAAATAATAATAATAAATAAAAACAAAAAGGTTCCAGCTGTGGGGTGTAAGGAGGGGCAGAGGGTTAGGGGAAGGCTTTAGGTAGTGAGAGGGTTGCATAGGCCCTGGGAAGGAGACATAAGCAGAGGAAGCAATTCCTGACTGATACATCACCATTCCTGGCCTCAACACTTCAGTGTGGAGCTCAAAATCCTCAGGCTATACCCTCCTCTGCAAGTACACGCTTGCTCCCAGACAATGTGGCTCCCAGGAATCTCAGGATCAATGGCTTCCTGAGATGGAGGTTTATACAGGGAAAGGAAGGCCAGAGAATGGCCCTCTGGTCAAGGCCTCAGGCCCCACCTTGACAAAGACATAAAGCTGACTCAGCTTCCTTGAGCCATTTCTACCAGAACATTCCCTAGGTCATTCATCTCTATCTAGGTGAGAGACCTTGAGTTTAAATGCTCCAGCCCTGAACCTTAGACTTTCCTGGCACAGATAACACCTTGCTCAGAACCTTCTTCCAACCCTGGGGATGGAAGGAGGGCCTGAAGAGGGGGGGAGAGAGGCAGGAATGCTGGGGAAGGGCTGAGACTCCCTGGGGAAGGGCTGAGACTCCCTGCTGACAGGGCTGCCAGAGGCTGGGAGGACCCCCCCCTCCCCAGGACACTGGGTGTTCCTGGGCAGGACAATGACTAAGGGAGGCTCAGCTCTGCTGGGTACTCCTGAAGTTTCTAGAATGTGGCACTCAGGTTAGACCTGGGTGGGACTATGTAAATAGAATAATATACATACTGAAACAAACTCCAAGATATGGAAACAAAAGACATATTTTTCATTCTTTTTCAAATTTTAACTTCTGATGATTCTGTCTTCTATACCTTATATGTGCTGCATTCACATGTATATCTTCAGGAGGGTTGGAGGATGGGCACAGAACTCCAGGGAAAAAGGGTGAAAAAGTACAGCAGCGGAGCTCACTAGACACATGAAAGTGAGCTATATAACTTGTGGCTGGAGATGGGAGGGAGGGACTGGGAGATGATGAGGAAACAGATAATACTGTACAAAAGGAAATGTACTCATTACCTGACTCATGTAGTTGTACTTCCTCTGAACATCACCTCTATAACAACAATAAAGTAAATTAATTTAAAAAAAACTGAGCCACAGCTCCACCTCCAGCTTTTTGCTGGCTAATCAGAAATAAGATTCTCTTATATTTTTCTGCCAGGGCCTACTGAGTAGCTAAGATTATAGGCATGAGCTACTGATGCTCAGCTTCCAGAAATTTTTGATCTTGTGAAACTGATATGCTAACCACTAAACAATAATGCTCCATTTCCCCTTCCATAGCAACCACTGATTTCTATTTTCTGTTTTTGTAAGTATCTCATGCAATATTTTGTCTTTTTATAATTGGCTTGTTTCGCAGCAAATGTCAGGTGTCATAACTGCCTTAAGTTTGAAGGCTGAATAATATTACATTGTATGCATATGCCACATATCAACATTGATGGACACTGAGTTTGTTTGGTTTTTTTGGTCCTCTCATGGGGCTTGAACTCTGGGCCTAGGCACTGTCCTTCAGCTCTTCAGCTCAAGGCTAGCACTCTACCACTTGAGCCACAGCACCACTTCCGGCTTTTTTTCTTTTTGCTTATGTGGTGCTGAAGAATCGAACCCAGAGCCTCATGCATGCAAGGCAAGCGCTCTACCACTGAGCCACCTTCCCAGCTCCAACTGAAAGGACTTTTTTAAGAAGTTTGTATGTCCATATGCATAGGAGAAATGCTCATAGATAAAACTCATTGTCAGGGCTGGGAAGGTGGCTCAGTGGTAGAGCACTTGCCTTGCATGTATGAGGCCCTGGGTTCGATTCCTCAGCATCACATAAGCAGAAAAAGCCGAAGTGGTGCTGTGGCTCAAGTGGTAGTGTACTAGCCTTGAGCTGAAGAGCTGAGGGACAGCGCCCAGGCCCACAGTTCAGGCCAACACACACACACACACACACACACACACACACACACACACATCTTTTCAGTTATCTCAGCATACCCAGAAATGGAATTGGGGTTCCAGTTTCCCCACACCCTCTCCAACATTTGATGGGTGTGAGGTAATATCTCATTATTATAGTATTTTTATTTTGCTCTGTTTTGGTTATTTTCTGGTTTTTTGTTTTGTTTTTGAGACAGACTCTCACTTTATAGCTCAGGCTGGACTTGGACTTGCTAAGTAGCTCTGTTTTGATATTTAATAATCACTAGCATGGCCGGGTGGTGGTGGCTCACGCTTGTAATCCTAGCTATTCAGGAGGCTGATATCTGAGGATCACAGTTCAAAGCCAGCCCAGGCAGGAAATTTCGTGAGACTCTTATCTCCAATAAACCACTCGAAAACTGAAAGTGGTGCTGTGGCTCAAGCAGTAGAGCACTCGCCTTGAGCTGAAGAACACAGGGACAGTGCCCAGGCCCAGAGTTCAAGCCCCACGACAGACCAAAAACAAACAAACAAACAAAAAACACTAGCATGACTGACTAGGTCTCAGATGTAAAGATACCATATTCAAGAAATGGGAAGCCAATTGTAGTGATGCATGCCTATAATCCCAGCAGAGGCAAAAGGATCTTGAGTTTGAGTCCAGCCTTAGCTATATAGTGAGACCCTGTCTAAAAAGAGAGGGAGTGGGAAGTCATGTATACTATTACAAAAAGCTGTCTCCACCAGCAGCAGCAAAAGCCATTGGTTTTCTTTTGGCTTGGGAAACTAGAACAAAATGGAAATAGAGATAGGATGAGCAACGAACACTGTTTGCTTCAGTTACCACTGGGCCTGATAGGATGTCAAGGATCATGCTTTCCAGGGTCATCTGATCTCTGTATTAGCCTATTTTCTGTTGCTATAACAAAATGCCTGAAGATGAGTAGTTTATGAAGAACCAAGGTTTACTGAGCTCAGTTTTGGAATCTTACATTTCAGATGGGCAGTCCCAACACCTAGGCTTTGGTGAGGGCCACCGTGGAGCATCACATAGTGTATGGCATCATGGTGGAGCACAGGAAGGAGGGAGAGCTGGGATGGCCAAAGACTTGGGAGAGGCCAGTCTTTCTCTATCTCTTTTTAGGTGCGAGACTGGGACTTGAACTCAGAACCTGGTGCTTTGATACATTGGCTAGTGCTCTACCAACTGATCCATGCCTCCAAACCCAAGTCTTACCCTTTTATACCAACCCTCTCTTATAGGAACTAATAGTGTTGTCTGAGAACTGCATTCATCCTTTGGAGGGCAGCATCCAATAACCTAGTTACCTTACAATAGGCCCCACCTCTTAAAGGCTCCACCACCTCAGCACTACCGTACTGAGGACAAAGCTGCCAGCACACAAACCTTTGGGGGACATACCACACCATAGTAATCTCCAACAAACCATTCTCATGGGAGGGAGCCGTCTCTGCTACCAGCATGTGTGTGGAGCAGGGGTGGGAGGTTGCTACTGGAAGTTACTGGAAGCAGTCAGAGCGTCCATTCCTTAGCCTCTGTGATGTCATACTAGCACCTCTTTCCTTCCATCCTAGGCAGGGACTTCTGAGGCTGCTGTGGCCATGGGACCCTGGGAACCAGCAGGAGAGAGGGGACCTGGAGGCTCTGGTTTCCCCCGGGGGAGCAGGGGGCGCGGGAGGCGCAGCTATGCCATTCGTAAAGGAAGGCATGCCCCTTGTGAAGGAGCCCCAGCCGCCGGCGCTGGGCCCGCTCTCCTGGTTCCTCCCCAGCCTCTTCGCTGCCTTCAATGTGGTCCTACTGGTCATTTTCAGTGGCCTTTTCTTCGCATTCCCGTGAGTCTCCCATGCACGCTGTCAGCTTCCTCACAAAGAGGAAAATAAGTGTGGGCAGAGGGAGGGGGGGAGGGGGTGCTCAGAGGTCAAGAGAAGGAGGACAATTTAGTTGGGGGGAATTGAATGTTCAAGAACAGAAATTTAGAGGACTTGATGCATTTGGGGGCATTCCAGATGGCTGGTACTTTGGTAGGGGCTTGGCCTGGGTCTTTTGAACTGGCTTTAAGGTCAATGAGTTCTTTTTTTTTGTTTGGTCATGGGGCCTGAACTCTGGGCCTGGGCGCTGTCCCTCAGCTCTTCAGCTCAAGGCTAGCGCTCTACCACTGGAGCCACAATGCCACTTCCAGCTTTTTTCTTTTTGCTTATGTGGTGCTGAGGAATCGAACCCAGGGCCTCAGGCATGCAAGGCAAGCACTCTACCACTGAGCCACCTTCCCAGCCCAAGGTCTATGAGTTCTGACCCAGGTGAGCCCAAGCCCGAGTTAGGAGCTCAGGACCGAGTCTGGCTCTGGTTTCAGTTGCAGATGGCTGGCTCAGAAAGGGGAGTGGGCCTTTCCTACGGTCACAGGGCTCCTCTTCATCCTCACCTTCTTCAGTCTCATTTCACTCAACTTCTCTGACCCTGGTATCTTACATCAAGGTGAGGCCTTGGCCCCCCCTGGGAGGAGGTGGTTCCCCCAAGGGTGGGCACCTGCAAGGGTGAATTCTAAATGCCCCTCCCCTGACCTTGGAACCCCCATTTCCTCTGTCACCATTGCTCTAGTCCTGGCACTTCACTTTCCAGGCCACCAAAGTGTGAAGAAAAATAGAACCCTGGGTTTTTTTTCCAGAAGTTTTGAAAGGGTGATTCTGGCAGGTGGGGAGAGAAGCCAGTAGATTTGTTCAGGCCCACAAAGTGATACACACACAACACACACACACACACACACACACACATTAAGCACTAGCCCCAGTTCTTTATAGAACTCTTCTGCTGGAAAGTCTCTTTTCCTTTGCCAGCCTCTGAGCAGTCACCTTGCTCAGTAGGTCCCAGGGCTTCCTCTGCCCACCTCCTTCCTACTCTTCTGGTGCCCACGAATGCCCTGGGGCTTGTGGGGCAACAGTGATGGAAGGGCCTGTGGCCTCTGCTCAACCCTCTTCCCGAGCCAGGCTCCATGGAGCAGAGCCCCATGATGGTGCACGTGGTGTGGGTGAACCACCGAGCCTTCCGCCTGCAGTGGTGCCCAAGGTGTGGCTTCCATCGCCCTCCCCGGACCTACCACTGCCCCTGGTGCAACATCTGTGTGGAGGTGAGCGCCCCTCTTTGCCATCCTGTCCCCCACACTGGACCAGGACCAGGAGGCTCCACATAACAGGGCCAAGGGTTGGGTGTGAGCCACCTTCCCGGACTGCGGTAGGCAGCAACTCTCAGCCACTCTTGGGACCAAGGGCTAGTGGCCTAGAGGGCAGGATCAGGACTTGGGGTTCATGGAGGCCTAGCTGCTTTCCCTGTCACCTAGGACTTTGACCATCATTGCAAGTGGGTCAATAACTGCATCGGTCACCGCAACTTCCGCTTCTTCATGCTACTGGTCCTGTCCCTCTGCCTCTACTCTGGCGCCCTCCTGGTCACCTGCCTGATATTCCTGGTTCGCACCAGCCACCTACCGTTGTCCATAGACAAGGTCATGGCGTATCCACAAGGCCCAAGGGTAGAGAGAAGTAGAGATGAAGGAAGACAGCCCAGGGGCGGAGCTAATGGTGGGAGGGCTGAATAAATGTTAGGGGCGGAGCTAATGGTGGGCAGGATCAGATGGATGTCGGGGCGGGGCTAATGGTGGGAGGGTTGAATAAATGTTAGGGGCGGAGCTAATGGTGGGAGGGCTGAATAAATGTTAGGGGCGGAGCTAATGGTGGGCAGGATCAGATGGCTGTCGGGGCGGGGCTAATGGTGGGCGTGACTAAAGGGAGAAGCAGCCTTGGAGGACCAGTGTGGCACTGGATGAAGGTTGGTGGGGTCAGGAGGTAGACCGGGAGCTGGGAATCTTGTGGGGTCATGGAGTGGGGTGCTGCAGCTTGGAGAGGATCATGGGGGACAGCATGGAGGGATGAGGAGAGCAGACCAGCAGGGCTGGTGGGGGCAGCGTGGGGGGGGTGCTCTGGGCCGCACTGTTCCTTAGCCATGCGGGCAGCATCCTGGTGGCCATCCCTGCTGCAGGCTTCTTGATGCCGCTCTTCCTACTGCTGCTGATCCAGGCATTGTCGGTGAGCGCGGCTGAGCGCTCCTACGAGGGCAAGGTATTCTGGGCCAAGTGTGGGCCAAAGTGTGGGGGAGGGAAGGAGGGGCGAGGAGTGATTGGAACAGGGAAAGGCGGCCTTGATCCTCTGCCACCTCAGCAGTAGCGGTTCTGTCCACTGTCTTGGGCCTTGGTGATGCCTCTGAAGATGCGGTTGGATCCCACCACCTCCTGGAGCTGGATGAATTGCATCCAGAGCCTACTGGGTGCTAGGTTGCATGCATTGTTGAGGGACAGGCACAGATGTGGAGGGCTGTATCCTACATTTGTGTTAATGAGGAATCTAAGATTAGTGCCTGGCCACCTAGGAACACTGAGAGAGGGTGGGTCCTGCCCTGTGCTGCAAAACCTTGAGTTCCGCAATGCCCTTGTCAGGCCATGCAACTCCTTCATCCTATGTTTGGTTTTGAAGGGGCAGAAGGCCCCTGGGAGAGGCACAGCTTTGCAAAAAAGTGGAGTGTTGGAATGGTGAAAAGCATCTTCAAAGCAGAAAATGGCATGGGCAATTAAGTGGACCCCTTGAGGCTGACCACATTTAAAAGACCCATAAAAGTCAACCTGGGCCAGTGTTATGGCTGTAATCTCAGGAGGCTGAGATATGAGAATCATAGTTCAAAGATAGCTTAGGGAAGAAATTCTATAAGGCTCTTATCGCCAATTAACCACCAAAAAGCCAGAAGTAAGTGGAGCTGTGGCTCAAGTGGTAGAGTGCCAGCCTTGAGCGACACTGAATTCAAACCACAGCCCCCCACCCACCCAATCAATCATAAAGAAAATACCAAGGATTTTTGCATATTTATTTTGAATCCTGCAATCTTTCCTGATTCAATTATTCTAAAAACCTTTCTTGCTGATTATTCATGGAAAAATCATGTCCTAGAAGCCTTTCCAGTACTCATGGCTTGCTTTTTGTATCTGCACTGTGTTAGAACTCCAGTACAGTGTTGAGCAGCCTGTTAGGACTGGACACCCTTGCTGTGGGATTCTCTTAGCATGACAATAACTTATGTAAAGGCTGTTACAGGAGGACTATGGGCAGCACTGATGGGGGGGGTGGGCTGTAGACACTGAGGCTGTGAAGGCAGAAGAGGGCTAAGTGTCAGCGTTCCCTTGGGGAGAAGCCAACGGCCTGCTTGCTCTCTGGCTTCCCTGCCCTTGGAGGCTTGCTGTAGCTGGAGGCCAAGCCCTGGCTCAGAGATGGTCACTGGTGAATGGTCTGCCTAATTCTACCAGTTCTGAGCTTTTCTTTCCTTCTCCATCCCTCTCCAGTGTAGATACCTTCAGGGATACAACCCTTTCGACCAGGGCTGTGCAAGCAACTGGTACTTAACAATCTGTGCACCGCTGGGACCCAAGTGAGTTGGTAAACCCAAGGCCCAAGTGTGGTGGACCTGGGGCTGATAAGGTATGGGACTGGTAGGGTGATTTTTCTCTCCTGGCCCTTTCCCCCAGCTCCCAGGCTCTGGAGTTTTCTCCAGGGCACTGTGGGAGCCTCTTGCAGTTTCCTTGCCTTCACTGGTTCTTACTCAAGAGCATGGGGTTGAGGGAGCTGCAGCCTGGTTGAACCTGGCCTCAGCTTTCTGCAGTAGCTGAGAGCCTGGCCTGTGTCCCCGGCTGGGAGTGTGAGCGCGGTGACCCCTGACATCTGGCGTCTTGCTTCCCAGGTACATGTCTGAAGCAGTCTGGCTGCAGAGAGTGGTAGCACCCGAGTGGATGCCCGTGTCCACCCTGTGCCCTTCTGCGCACTGTCCCCCAGTTCTGTCTGGACCCCAGCCTCAGCCTCTGGGTCTCTATGCACCAGGCAAGGGTCCCCCAGGGAGTGGCGAGGCTGCAGTTCTCCAGGAGGTGAGAATGGGTCAGTATGTGGGGAAGAGGGCTGTGTGGGTTGCACAGATATTGAGGAACCCCCCCTCCACGCCCCCAGTCAGGCTGACCTAAAGCTAGAGCACCTCTTGGAGGAAGGGGATTATAGTTCTGGAGGACCATTGAAAAGAGAGTCACAGGCTTCCAGAATATGCCAAGGAATCCTTGGAAGAGATTACCTCAAAAGCTTATTGGCAGGCTTTGGGCCAGTCATTCACCCTTTCTGGTGTGTTTCCAACTCAGCTACTAATGAGGACAGAGACTACTCCAGTAGTTACGCTGTTTTGAAGAGTTTGTATTTAAAGGATATTTTTACCTGAACTCCATATGGAAGTGGAGCAGTAGATGTGTCACCCACTGTGCCCCCCCCCCCCGCCCCGAGTCCTTACAGTAACATTCTGTGAGCTCAGCCCTCTCCTAAGCTCCACCTAGACCGGGCAGGGGCGTGTCTATGAGCTGTGGGGCTGGCTGGTGGTACCTGCACACACTCAATCTGTGTTTAGCTCCATGCCAGCCCAGTGCTGCCCCTGCTACCGGAGGCCCCCAGACGCTGCCCGACCTCCCACTCACCCCTCCGGACCCGATGCCAGGAGCACCTTCACTTGAACCTCACCTCCTGAGTACCCTTCCGTGGAGGTTTCTCTGGTCTTTGCCCGTTCCCCTGGTGAAAGTACTGACCCACCCATGCCCATTAAATACCATTTTGCTGCTTCCTATAGCTGCCCTGCTTTGCATGTCTGTCCAGAGTGCGAGGGGAGGTAGGGAGGCTCTGAGGAGTTGATAAAGATTTCCATGGGGGAAGGAGGGGTGAAGATCCAGCATCCCTGGAGATGGAGCTCAGGAACTCACATTGCCTGGATCCATGACTTTGGGTAAGACATTTAGCCCTTCTCTCATTGTTCCAGTGGGGCAACAGTAAAAACTGTCATCACTGACCAGTCCTGGCTGGGGATGATGGGAGAGAACCCAACCTTTACCAGGCAGTATCTCTGTCCAGCTGCAGGGGGCACTAGTTGTCCAGGAATTCTCAAACCTGGCTTTGTGCCACTCGGAGGGCACCTCTGGACCTCTTAGCTGGGCCGACACTTGGGTTAGGCCTGGGTATCCTTCACTCTGCCTCTCCGAGTTGCACAGGGCAGGGAAGGACTGTCCATTTCAGTCCGACTCTGAATCTCTCCTCTTGGTGCTTCTTGTGGCCAGCACCTGCAGGTGATCCTTCTGATCCTGTCCCTGCAGGTGGGGATGGGGGCACATGGAACGATGGCTCTGCTAGTCGCTAAGTGCATGACTGGGGGGCTGGAATAACGTCACCTTCATGGGTGGTTGGGAAACCAAGAATGAGATAGGACACATCAGGCAAAGCGCCAGGTACATAGTTAATGATAACAATGTTTGCAGCCAGTGAGACCCCAGTGATTTTCCCAGTGGACAGACCACCCAATGTTTCTCCAAGAACCACCTGCTCAGCATCACTCAGTGCCCAGACCACTGGCTCAGAATCTCACTGGGGATAGGAATTTTTAAAATTAGCATATATTGCTTATAGAAGGGGTGACATTTCCGCATATGTAAACAACGTATCTCAGGGGCTGGGAAAGTGGCTTAGTGGTAGAGTGCTTGCCTAGCATGCATGAAGCCCTGGGTTCAATTCCTTAGTACCATATAAACAGAAAAAGCCAGAAGTGACCCTATGGCTCAAGTGGTAGAGTGCTGGCCTTGAGCAAAAAAGAAACTTAGGAACAGTGCCCAAGCCCTGAGTTCAAGGCACAGGACTGGCAAAACAAAACAAAACAGGGGCTGGGAAGATGGCTCAGTGGTAGAGCGCGTGCCTTGCATGCCTGGGGCCCTGGGTTCGATTCCTCAGCACCACATAAGCAAACAGAAAAAAGCCGGAAGTGGTGCTGTGGTACAGTGGTAGAGTGCTAGCCTTGAGCTGAAAAGCTGAGGGACAGTGCCCAGGCCCAGAGTTTAGGCCCCATGACCGGACCCAAAAAACAAAACAAACAAACAAAACAAAACAATGTATCTCAAGCAACCTCACCCCTTCTGAATTTTTATCAAAGGCCCTCGGTCATTCTGATACAGAACATACATGCCAGCACAAACCACACTGTTGCCTGTGCCTGTACCCAGGTAGAATCGTGTGTAATGATGGTGGACAGAAAGGGGTGGCCACATGTTCAGATGAACACGCCCAGAGGCTTGTGTGTCTATTACCAGGCTGTGTTTTTGTATCTAAGCTCATCCTCTGGGAGATGTCAGTCCAGCTGAGTATCTTCCTGCCAGCTACAGGATAGTGGCCTACGGTGTAAGACATCTCTCCAGACCACTGAATCCTAACCCAAAGCTGCCAGTCTCCACCCATCCCTAGAGGCTCTAGGGTCCTCCCTGTTCCCACCCAGCTCCACTTACCACCCTGCTTCTGCTTTGGCTCTTGGATTTCTGGCAAATCCTTTTTCTTTCTTTTTCTCTTTCTTTCTTTCTTTCTTTATTTTTCTTTCTTTTATTTCTTTCTCTCTTTCTTTTTCTTTCTTTCTTTCCTTCCTCCCTCCCTTCCTTCCTTCCTTCCTTGCTTGCTTTCCTTCCTTCCTTTCCTTTTTTTCTTTGTTTTGTCTGCCTGGGTGCTGGCCCTGAACTCTTCAGCTCAAGGCGAGCGCTCTACCACATGAGCCATGGCACCACTTCTGGTTTTCTGATGGTTTATTGGAGATAAGAGTTTCATGGCTTTTCCTTGCCCAGGCTGGCTTTAAACTGTGATCTCAGATCTCAGCCTCCTGACTAGCTAGGATTTCAGGCATGAGCCATAGGCGCTGGGCTTCTTTTTCAAGTTCTTATACTCTTATTTAAGCATAAAGCTGAAGCAGCTCCATCTCTCTGGGAAGTTTGAAGTTCATGGTTGCCTGTGGGAAGGAAGGGAAGTCTGTAGCAGTCCCTGAGTCTAGGCGTTTATACTTATGCACCCATGTGGGTCTCCTGTCTGCTGCCTAGTCGGGAGGCAAGTGGGGGAGAGGGAGCGGCGTAGCAGTTGGGCAGCTAGGGTCTCCCAGCTCACTCCTAGAGGCAAGTCTTAAGGGTAGCCTTGATCTGGGTCAGAGAGGATGGGAGGGAGTCAAGGTGCCTGGCCTCCTCTGGGTAGTCTGGGTGCAAATCATGGAACTGCCTCAGTTGAGCAGCTGCCAGAGTCAGCTCCATAGGGAGCTAAGAAGGCCGGGCTGGTTTGGGGGGGGGGGGAACCTGCTAACTCCTGCCCTGCAGGTGGTCCTGCTGCTGCCCTTTCTAGCTCAGGACTGCTTTTATTGGGTGCTGGCCTCCAGGTGTAGGGAAGACTGGAAGACTCACATCTGGCCTCCAGCAGGATCCTCCCAAGTCCAAAGCTAAGTGTGAGTCCTCTCTTGACACCATAGGCCTCTGTTTCTCCACAGGGCCAGAATATGATTTGCTAGAGAGTCTTAGAAGAGGTCATGACCGCTCCACAGGCAATCACTTCCTCTCTGGGATCAAGACTGTTGGTCTGTTTCAGCCTCAAAACTTCTGGGGCTTGCCGGGCGCTGGTGGCTCACGCCTGTAATCCTAGCTACTCAGGAGGCTGAGATCTGAGGATCGTGGTTCAAAGCCAGCCCGGGCAGGAGAGACCGTGAGACTCTTATCTCCAATAAACCACCAGAAAACCAGAAGTGGCGCTGTAGCTCAAGTGGTAGAGCGCTCGCCTTGAGCTGAAGAGCTGAGGGACAGCGCCCAGGCCCAGAGTTCAAGCCCCACGACTGACAAAAAAAAAAAACAAAAAAAACTTCTGGGGCTTCTTTAGGAATCACATTCCCCTTGTTGAGTGTTAAGAGGTTCCCAGCCCAGCCTTTCCTTGACACTCCTGCCCCTGCCCCTCCCCTGTCTTGGGCCATTCTCATGGGTCCTTCTCTAGCAGGCTAAGAGGTTCAGCTAGGTGCACCTATCTTCTCTTCCTGCCCCTCCTCAGTTCTGCAGAACTTGCCCTTGATTCTCAGACACACCCCACCCAGTCCCTGGCCCACAGATAAGGTGAGGGCTGTTTATCAGAGTCTAGTTATGAGTCTGCTGCCCGTATACCGAGAAAGGCCTACCATCACTGCCTTACCCTGCCCTGGTCCAGAACCAAGGAATGACCCCCACCCACACCCAAATCCTGCAGGGCTGCAAGGTGCCCGGTGCCAGCTACCTCCTAGAACTGAACCTGAGTCCCCCAGCTAATCTCTAGATCATCATAGATCTCTTTCCTCCATAGACCTACAGGAAGGTCAGAGCCTATGGAGTGGGGCCCAGATACTCAGCTCTGAAGTAACATGACTCAGCCCTTGGGTTCTCACAGTCACTATAGCTACTTCTTGGGGTCACAGGCACCAATCTCTTTGGAGAGGGAGAGGACTTGGGAGTGCCTTCATGTATTAGTCTAGCACCCCCATTTTCACAGACAAGAGCTCTGGGCTTAGGAAGGAAAGTGGTTGCCTGTCCCGTGGTCAAGTTTGGTGGCTCTCTGGATCCCCTGTGGCCACTCCTCTTCCTGCTGGGAGCCATGCCAGCAGAGGAAGGACTTGGACAGGGAGCCTGGGGCTCCTGCCTGCGCCTCAGAGCCCTGCAGCGTACAGAGACCCAGGGCTGGGGAGCTGATAAGAAGGCCGGGCTGGACTCTCTCCAGCCTGTGCTGCCTGATAATGGCTTCTGCTGCCTGCTGCTTCGCCCCACCCAAGGGGACCTGCTAGTGGCTGAGGGTGGGGTAGGGTGGTGACTGAAGGCAGGGCAGGCTCCCAAAGTGTGGGATCCAGGGTCTAGACTCCTAACACAGGTACCTCGTGGCTAACTGATGGGCACCTGGGCTTGGTTTAGGGCCTCTATTCTTTCTCTTTGGTTCTTAGCAGACTGAGGGTGATGGAAGGAAGGAATAGCCTTGTTCTCAGTGATGGAATCGTTCCCGAGCAATGCTGGGAGCAACCTGGGCTAAGGGGCTCATGTTAGCTCCTTGAATCCCCACATCAACCATGCCAAATTACAATTCTGGCCTTACAGATGAGAAAACTCACTCTGGAGCTTTCCCGATGTCATACTGCCTTTAATGGCAGGGTTGAACTGCATAAGCACTTTGCTATGACCCTGTGCCTCTCTGTGTGGAGTCGTGGTTCAAATGTGGGCTCTGAAAACAGCCAGCTTACTCCTTCTGGGAGCCAGATGAGTGTTTTCATGGCACAGTGTTGTCATGGAGACTGGTCAATGGGTAGTGATGATTACCATTTAATACAATCAAAGGGATGTGAAAGGCAGAACTTGGTGATATGCGTGGGGGCCTGAGGATGCAGGTTACCATGACAACAGCAGCATGTTGAAAGGAGATTGGGGTCTGCTATTTGGGGGGGGGCGGGGGAGGCATGTTCTATCATTTCACAGAGAACCAGCTCATGTGGGGGGGTATCCAGACCAAAGGGACCCAGGTGTGTGGGCTCAGACTACTTGAGGAAGGAGAAAGATGACTATCTGTCACTGCTCTGCAGCTTGCTGCTTCTGTTTTGTGGCTTACATTCAGACTGCCTCGGGCTGAAGGAAATAAAAAATCACAGTGGCTGGGCAGCTGCTCAGTGCCACCTGATCCCAAGAAAGGCCATCTGTCCTTTGTCTCCTCTCTACTTTCTCTTCTCCCTCTTCCTCCTCCTCTTCTCCCTCCTCCTCTTATTCTTCCCAACTGTCTTTATCACTCTTCTCCTGCTCTTGCTGTCCCCCATTTACCTTCAATTTCCTGAACTACTGCTTCTAGGAACACAAAGTCAACTGACCACTTTCAAGTAACAACGTCTAACTGTGATTCTTGGAAGCTCCTGGTCAGGGTGTGGAACCTGCAGAAGCCACAGCCAGGCGGGAGGCCTCGCCTGCACAGGGCGCCTTTGTCTGCTCAGCCTGGGGTCTCTGCCTCCCAGCTGGATAGCTGCTTTCCCAGCTGCTCTGGGGCTGGGCCACTTTTGGTCTCTGGTGGGAAAGGACTTCACTGGATATTTAGCCATCTCCTGACTTTTTACCATATAACTTTATTATTAGTAAGATGTTGTACAGAGGGGGTTACTGTTTCATAAGTCAGGTAATTAGTACATTTCTTTTTGGACAGTGTCTCCCTATTTTTTTCTAATTTAAACTTTTTGGTGCAGGTCCTAGGGCTTGAATTCAGGGCCTGGATGCTGTCTCTGAGTTTGGTGCTCAAGGCTAGCACTCTACAACTCGAGTTACAGTTTCACTTCTAGCTTTTGGATGGTTAATTGGAGGTAACAGTCTTATGAACTTTCCTGCCTGGACTGGTTTTGAACCACACATCTCAGCCAGCTGAGTGGTTAGGGTTACAGATGTGAACCTCTGGCACCCAGCTTCATCTTCCTATCAAGGAGAAGGAAACCAAGGCTGTACTAGTTGGTTGGGCCTCTCCTGGGGTCACAGAGCTCAGCACAAGACACAGCTGAGACTGTGTCAAACCACCCTGCCTTCAGAGCCCTGCGCCCTTATTTACACCCCACAACAAGCATCTCCTGTATCTAGGAAGGGCCTAGAGTACTGGGCAAGTTCATAGCAATGATGAAGACAGCCATGACAGCACCAGGCTGAATGCTGCTGTAGGCCAGGCTCTGTGGGAAATGCTCTGCTCGTGTCAGCTCATTTAAGCCACAAACAAGTATTCAAAAAGGGTGCCGCTAGTACCTTCGTGGATGAGACCCTGGACAGCCTGGGACCTGCAAGGACAAGGCCAATTTGACCTCCTGGGAATCCTTGACTCAGTGACTAGGGATGATCCATGGTTGGGGCCGGTCCTGAGCTGGCCAGCAGAGCTTATATCCCATAGCCCCATTCATTAGCTTCCTCTGCCTGAGTCATGCTTAGCCCCCTCTGTCCCCTAATAGAGGAGGGCATGAGGGCACTAAGGGAGGGTAACCTCGCTCTTGTCCCTCTAGGCTGGGAAATAGCCCTGACCCAGTAGTTTCTAGATACCTCCTTGTGAGACACTAACAGAAATGGAAAGCCGCCCTCCTGAAGGCCCCTTCCTGGCCAGGGCAGGAGACCTGGGGCAGGGAGCAGGCCCTGGACAAGCCCCGAAAGCCCTCACCCCCACCCCACCCCCATTCCCCTTAGCTCCTCTGTAACCTGAAACAAAACCCACACCATGAGCTTGGGGCTCATGGTGGGGATGTTTTATTGACTTCCTCTTTTTCAGGCCAAGTGGAATGTTTGCAAAGGGGAAACAAAGTGGGGGTTTGGTTCAGGCTGGAGGAGCCTGTTAAAAGTCACACCTGTTCTCTCTCATGTCCGTTTCCCCTTGTTGGCCCTGCTTGGTCATAAGCTCTGGATTTAAGTCATTTGGAAATGGTGATGGCTGAGAATGGGCCACCTTTTATTTTCATGAATTAATAAATTGATAATAATATTTGTGTGTGTGTGTGTGTGTGTGTGTGTGTATTTGTATTTATGTGTGTGTGTGCTGGTACTAAGGCTTGAACTCAGCGCCTCATGCTCTTATTGGCCTTTTCACTCAAGACTGGTACTCTACCACTTGAGCCACATATCTCCACTTCCAACTTTTTGCTGATTGATTGGAGATCAGAGTCTTGCGGATTTTTCTTTCCAGTCTGGCTCTGAACCATGATCCTCAGATCTCAGCCTCCCGGGTAGCTAGGATTACAAGGCTTATCCTCCTTTGGCCCCTAACTAAAACACCTTATTTTAAATCTCAGGCAGATAGCTTCTTGGGGTGACCTTTTCAGCACCCTCTCCCTCCTGCCAAGTATCCATTTCTAGGGGAAGTAGATAGTCTGGCTTGGGTTGGAGGCAGGGATGGGATTCCCTTGCCCACCAGCTTGCCAGCACCATCTGCAGTCCCCAATTTCCCGCCTCAGGCCCTTCCCCCTTCCCTGCCCCCAACCCCCCAAGACTAAACCTCTGAGACGTTTCAAGGCCTGGCCAGGCCCAGCTCACTCTAACCCTTCAGTCTCCCTCTTCGCAGGGACTTGGGCCACTGGCCTGGCTTGGCCAAGAGGCTCTGGAAGCCTTGGGTGCAATCCAGACCAGAGAGTAAAGGAGGCTTGTTGTAAAGCAAAGAGCAGAAGCAAGCACACAGAGGGCTCTTTGCTTTAGACTTGAAGTCTTGAAAGATTTGTTTTCTTTAAATATCCTGCTGCAGGAAAGAGACCATTGATAGTCCTGAAACCTGGAATTCAGGTGGCTGAGGAGTAATTTGTTTGGTTTGTGTCCCACCCTGTTTCTGCCCCGTCGGGTCTTGGGCACCGGTGCCTGATGGGGTTTGGTGGAAGGTCCACCCAGCTCAGCACACATCGAGACTCAGACTTCTGGTCATGGCCTCAGCAGTGGGTTTTTATCTCAAAACTGGAGATCATTCATCTCTGTTTTGTTATTGTTTTACTGTTTTGTAGTGTTAGGGATTGAATTCAGGGCCTTGTGCATACTGGGCACACACTCAACCACTGAGCTACATTCCCACCTTTGGGTTTGTTCTGTTTTTGTTAGTATTAGGAATTGAACTCAGGTCTTTCCATTTGCTAGGCAAACACTGAATCACTTGTATGCCAGTCTATTTTGGTTTTTGTTTACTTTTTAGATAGGGTCTTGTGCTTTTGCCTTGGCTGTCTTTACACCTTAATCCTCCTACTCTTACCTTCTTGAGTATTTGGAATAAGAGATATGAACTACCACGCCCTGCCCTTGTTTTGTTTGCTGGGGTCACATACTCTTTTTCTTGAAAACATTGTCTTTCAACCTCAGGGAACAGACATGCTGCCAACAACTGACTCAGGTAGGTCCTCCTACCATGAACCCTCCCAAGTCTCATTCTTGGAGGCTGGCTCCACTTGGGCTCACTTATTACTCCCTTGCCTTTTGTAGCGCTGGGCCTTTGTTGGCTTCCATGCAACCCTCCTTACCTCCATACTCCAGGCTCTGGGCCTTCATTTCCTACATGTGAATAACTCCCTGGCAGAGAGCAGGCTCAAAATGTCAGATGCTCAAGGTCCTTTCTAGCCTCAGCACTGGAGAGAACAAGGCACAGTAGTTATTGGATAAAAGGGTGGGGAGATGGTTTACAACTAAGCAGGTAAGAGACCCAGGTACGGAGAACAGGAATGGAAGATTCTTCTTGTTCCTCTGCTCCAGTGCCTGTGGTAGGACTGGGTAGAATGGGGTCTGCAAAACCTGGAGGAAGAAGTAAGTATGGGGAGGTAG